CTCCTCTCCCCCCTTGGCCCTGACAAATTCTCCACAGCAGAACCACACAGAACCCGTGAGAAACCTCCACGGAACCCATGCTGCAGCAGGGTTTGCTTGCCTCCGGATGGCCAGCACGCGTTTCTTGCGTTCTCGGAGGATCTCTTGCAGCAGGAAGGTCCTTGAAGGGGAGAGGGGGGAGGGGAGGGGAGGGGGAGGATGGGGGGGGGACGGCGCGGTGAGGATGGGCGGGAATGGCACGACAGGAGGTGGAGGCGGAGGAGGAGGAGGAGCAAGGTGGAAGTGGAGGAGGAGAGGAGAAGCAAGGGCCCAGGCAGCCTTGCTCCCCACCCCGTCCGCACCACCCGGCGACGACGCTCGGACATGCGGCGACGCAATCTGTTGTTCCATGCGCGCCTCCAGAGATCCTGCATGTCCTTTTCCCCGAAGGCTCAGTGGGCCCTGGAAACGGTTCCGTTTCTTGCCGTTTCTTTACCGGTTCCGTTTTGCCGTTTTTTTGCCGGTTCCGACGCCGGGTTGTCACCGGTTCCGTCGCTGTTTTTTGACCGGTTCCGGCCCCAGTTCCCTTTTTGGAGCAGTTTTTTTGCCGTTTCCGGTCGCAGTGTTTTTTGCCGCTTCCATGTTCAAGTTTTTTTTTTCGAAAACGGTGGAAAAAAACGGCCCTGCCGTTTCCGGGGTCCACTAAGCCCGAAGGTAGTCTTTCGTCCCGGATCGATTTCTCACGGCCGTCGTGCCCGATGTCGGGCCTCTGAGGCGAAAGCCGCAGAACAAGTAACAAAAACGCCGCCGCTGCACCCGCCCACCTGTCCTTCGGATGCAGTTCCTGGGAGATCAAATTCCGATTCTGCCCTGGTCCGAAATCCGGCTTCATGCGGCTTGATCCCGCTTGATCCGGCTCAATGCCGTGCGATCCCGCTTACTCCGCTGCAGTCATGCTCAATCCGAGGCCCACTCCGGCGTTACAGCCCCCAAAAATGGGCTTGATCCCCGTCGTCTCTCCGACGGAGAGCTCCCAGTATAGGTGCCTCCTAAGTGTCGGAGAGGGGGACCGCCGCTGGCCTCTCCGCTGGCCCCCAGAAGGTTCTCGGGCGTCTACGTCGGCCTGGGCATGGGGGTGGCCGGCTTCTCCCTGAAGTGGAAGGTGCGGCGGGAGGGAAGAGAGGCACGCCTCGCATCATGATGTTCCAACCTGCTTCAGCCTTGACCATCAGAGACAATTTCGAGCACCACGGAATTACCGATATCGGAGGGCTTTCACGTGGTGGGCCCTGGGAGGCAATCTTCGTTCGACTTTGCTTCGATGCTTTTCGGGGTGCTCGAATTTGTTTTCGGGATGCGGACCTTAGGTACCATGAGAACAACATAAAACATAAGGCTCGCAGGCGATTTTTCTCCGCTACTTCCCGAGTGCGGCCCGAGAAGTTGGGCCGCTCAGACAAAAAGGGGCAAAATTTGGAAGGCACCCCAAGGGGGCCCTTCGGACACGCCCCCGTCGAGGATGGGCGCCCCCCCAATCGTATATATCCCAGGGTTGGGCCCCAAAGTTCTGGTCCCTTCGGGAGCCTTTCGGTTTCCCCGGAATTTCGGTCCATCCGAGCACCCCACGAAGCCTGGGATGGGGGTCGACGTTGGACGCCCCCCCAATCGTAGATCCCAGGGTTGGGCCCCAAAATTCTGGCCCCTTCGGGAGCCTTTCGCTTTCCGCAGAATTTTTCGGTCCATCCGAGCACCCCACGAAGCCTGGGATGGGGGGTCGACGTGTTCCCTGTGGCCGCCCCTTGCCGCTGCCGTCGCCGGCCCAGGGGCAGCGCAGAGGCAGGCTGCGGAGCGGCCCTGCCCGGCTGCCCGCGCAGAGCGCGCCCCTGGGGTCGCCGAGGCCTGGGGGCGGGATCGTGCCGCCGCCTCTGCTGCTGCGAGCGCGGGGGCCTGGGCCGGCCCTGCCCGGGCGTGTCGGTGCCCGTTCCCGGACACCCGTCGGGCCAACTTCGGCAGCTGCGTCCACCGGGGGCGGCCAAGAGGGGGGTGGTGGCTCGGGTTAGATCGGGCCTGTCCCTCTACAGGGGGAATATCCAAACATAGTCAAAAAATAGTCAGGGGACTATTTTTTGGTTACGTTTTGACCTTTTGGGGATATGTTGTGAGTATGTGTTAATTTTCCGTCGAAAATCTCCCTGTAGGGGGACACGCCCGACTTAAGACTAGGGGGGGGGATGTCATGGCATGGGCCATGATAATTCCTCTGATTTCATGGCGCCCCGTCTTATTTCATGACGCCCCTGGCACCCCCGTAGGCCGCGCACATGCCGCAGGCCATGATTGGCGCCCCCCCTCTTGGACTCCTCCCTCTTGGCCGCCCCCCTCTTGGCCGCCCCCGAGTCCAGCCGTGGCCACCCCTGACTAGAAGGGAGGGGGTGGAGGTCACAGATCGACCCAAGCGCGGTTCAGGGCAACCTCGTGGGAAGGTGCCGTGAATGTCAGTTGTTGTTTCTCCCACGTTCTGGGGACCGCCATGGGTCCCACCTCGATTGCAGGAGTGCGCCAGCACTGCGCTACTGGGGAAAATCTTTCATGCTGTACAGCCTTTTTTGCTTCGAAACCAGAGCACGCCACGTGACGTGGCCGACCCATGATACGGAGTTGCAGCGTATCTAAGATCCGCTGCCGTGCTCGACAGTGAAATACAGTCAACCCGCATCGTAAGAATGGGCAACCTTCACGAGGGTACCCTTGCACCCTTGCCCCCTCGGACCATCCTTGGCCGCTTCTGCTGACCAACCTCGTTCGGAAAACGATAACGTGGCCCTCTAAGGCCCTTGCATCCTTACCGCGCATCCTTGTTATGCGGGTCAACTGCATCGAGAGAACGCACGACCGGGCCTTGTACACCCCATGCTCACGCGACTCCTCTCGACCCAGATCGGCCCGTGAGGGCCCCGACGCCCGAGACTCAGCGAAAAGCACTGGTGTGAGAGACGCGTGCGCAGCCTGGACCTCAGGGAAGGTCTTTCGACGTCGGGACGAGGCCCGACCCAGACGTCCGATCCTCCTCCTCCGCCTCCTCCGCCTCCTCCCCCTCCTCCTCCGCCTTCACCAACGTGACGAGGCCCAATCTGAAATCTGACGCGAGATACCGCTGCAAACATCCCACGAAAATGGGACCGTTCAATATCCAGGGCGAGTTCGTCAAAAAACGTCGGCGAACCCGAGTTCCGGCTTACTCGAGTCTTGCGTTTCCCCGAGTTTTACGCACCGAATGTTTTGGAACAAAAACGTGCGGCATTTGGACCTCTCCTGGGGTGCAGTCTGGCCAGGATTTCGAGGCGGCTCCAGCCGAGGCGACGAGAAGGCTCAAAGCAGCTTCAAAAGCTGTTCTAGGCAAAGGAGCGCCCATGGCGAGAAACCTTCCATCCTCAGGGTGCAGCTTCCGTCCTGTCGGAGGTTCCAGAAAGAGGCGCTTCCCAGCCAAGTCCGGGTAGCCATGTCGTCCTCTCCTAAGCGCCGGCACCCAGCAGGTTCCGACCCCCCGAAGTCTCACACGCTCCTCCACCCCAGTCCGATTCCTCAGCACCGTCGCTCATCGCGCCCTCTCCCCTTTCTTCCGCCCTCTCTCGCTTACCGTGCAACTACTGGCAAGTGGAAGCAGTCCGTGGCCTTGTTGTCTCGTCGTTGCGACCTCTCGGCCCGTAATTCCGGTTGTTCCATCTTGCTTCACGCAGTTGATTGTTGCGGTTATCTGGTTTGCTGCGCAATCAATCTGTCCGAGATCCAGCTTAGAGCTCCTGGACGCCTCCACGTTGCAATCTGGCCGACGGCGTCGGCCCCCGTGGCTTCGGCCCTTCGGCCATTCCCCCGGGCCCGGACTTCAATGACACGTCGTTTTCGTTGACGGCCCCGCGGCCAGGAAACGGCATGCATGGCGCCGAGGACGACGAATGACCAGCCGTCAGGGTTTGTTCTGCGTCGCCCCGATATGAGAATCTCTCCTCCTCGCAGGAGGGAAGAAACACAGCGACGCAAATGAGCGTCGATCCCCCGGAAATTATGGGAGATACGGCACATATAGGAAACTTCGGATGTTGGGTGTATTTCTTTGTGTGCCCCTGGGCCCCCAGGAGGAGGAGGAGAAGGAGGAGAAGGAGGAGGAGGCGGAGGAGGAGGAGGAGGAGGAGGAGGAGGAGGAGGAGTAGGAGAGGGAGGAGGAGGAGGAGGAGGAGGAGGAGGAGAAGGAGGAGAGAGGGGAGGAGAGTGAGGAGGAGGAGGAGGAGGAGGAGGAGGAGAGAGGAGGAGGAGAGGAGGAGGAGGAGGAGGGGAGGAGGAGGAGGAGAGGAGGAGGGAGGAGGAGGAGGTGAGGAGGAGGAAGGAGGAGAGGAGGAGGAGATGAGGAGGAGGAGGAGGAGGAGGAGGAGGGAGGAGGAGAGAGGAGGAGGAGAGGAGAGGAGGAGGAGGAGGAGGAGGGAGAGGAGGAGGAGAGGAGAGGAGGAGGAGAGGAGGAGGAGGAGGATGAGGAGGAGTAGGAGGAGGAGGAGGAGGAGGAGTGAGGAGGGAGGATGAATGGAGGAGGAGGAGGAGGAGGAGGAGAGAGAGGAGGATGAAGGAGGGGGGGGAGGAGGAGGAGGAGGAGGAGGAGGAGGAGGAGGAGGAGAGGAGGAGGAAGGAGGAGGAGGGAGAGGAGGAAAGGATGGGAGAGGAGGAGGAGGAGGAGGGGAGTGAGGAGGAGGAGGGGAGGAGAGGAGGAGGAGGAGGAGGAAGAGGAGGAGGAGGAGGATGAGGAGGAGGGGAGGAGGAGGAGGAGGAGGATGAGGAGGAGGAGGAGGGGAGGAGGAGGAGGAGGAGGAGGAGGAGGAGGAAGGGGCCCTTTTCGGCCCCGCCGCCGCGCCCGTGCCTCGATCTGCTGGGGGCGCCTCCCGGCGTCGGCGCCCGTGGAGGCGCCGGAGGGGGGCCGGTTGCGTGAGCGGGGTGCGCTGCCCTGCCCTCCGCTGCCCCGCCCAGGCCCCCTGGATTGCAAGTCGTTCCTGTCTCCCTGCAGGGGGATTTTCGACGAAGCATTAAAAAAAAAAGATGCCCCCAAAATGATCAAACAATACTCCAAGAATAGTCTGGGGACTATTTTTTGGGGGATTTGTTTTTAGATGTTCGGGGTATTTCTTGGGGTATTTTTGATTCTTCGTCGAACATCCCCCTGTATGGGGGACAGGCCCGACTTAACCCTAGATGCAAGTCGGGCCTGTCCCTTTGCAGGAGGAATAGTTAAACAATAGTAAACAAAATAGTTGGGGGACGATTTCTTGACAATTTTGTTTGGCCATTTTGGGGTATGTGTGGACTGTTTTTATTTTCCGTCCAAGTCCGCCTGTAGGGGGACATGCCCGACCCAATCCTGTATGGAGTCCGAGTACATGGGGTCGGAGAATCGCGCCGCATCCCCGATGCATAGACGATGCGGCTCGATGTGGAGCCCGTGCTTCCCAACCCGCCGACGTCTTCGAGGCATCGGCGACGTCGCCGATGCATCGGCGATGCGGCGCGACCCTCGGACCCCATCTGCTCGGACCCCATCTGGGAGGCCTCTACCGTCCGTCCCCCCGACGCGGGCACCCACGCGCTTCCAAGAAGGCCCTTGCCTGCCCAGAGCCCCCCCCCCGCCTTCTCGCCACGCCCGCCCCCCTGCGCCGACCGCGCGCTGCCAGTGTACGGCAAGCGGCCAACCGGTTCGAATCTCATCCTCCGCCAGCTCCCGCGGCGTCGTGGTCTCAGATCTTTACGCAGAGGAGGGAATGGTACCCATACCAGGGCTCATTTCGATTCCTCCGATTCGATTCGATTCGACTGCGATCAGTTCCGATTCCGATTCGATTTCGGATCCCGATATGGGTGCCGATTTCTTAATCGAGGCATTTTAGGCTGCCGGTCCGCCGATTCGACCTTTCCCGACTCGGCTGCCGCTTTCCGCCGATCCGATTCATTTCGATCGCCGATCCTATTTGTCGATTCGATTCTGGGCTCTCCTGCCATACAGCTCTAGGCCTCCCAGATCGGGACGGAGTAGATGGGGTCGGAGGATCGCGCCGCATCGCCGACGCATCGGCGAAGCAGCGGCGATGCGACTCGACGTGGGGATCATTTTTTTCCTCGTCGATGTCGCCCATGAGTCGCCGACACATCTACTCGGACCCAATCTGGGAGGCCTCTAATCCCGCGGCGTCGTGGTCTCCGAGGGGGTCATGGTACCCATACCGCCACCTTTCTTTCCCTCGAGGTCCCCCTCTTTCGGCCTCCGGGGGAGGCCCTCGTTGCGTCTGCTGGGTTCCGCTTCGAAGTTCTGCTCAGGGCGCACCCCAGGAGAGGTCCGGGCAGTGGCGCTATCGGTACCTTTTGGTGCCCCCGCTGCGCTGCACCTTCGGGGCGCCTCGTCTGTGCCCAACATGTGCGCCTCTTCTCCTCAAGGGAGGAAAAGCCACCCGGACCCGACACGTGGCGTTTACTGAACGGCCTTGGGCGTTTACTGAACAGCCCTGCCCTGTTCGATTCCTTCTCTGAGTGCGTTTCCTGAACGGCCTCGCGTGTCGGGGTGGTTCTTATCGGGGTGGATTTCTGCTCACTATTCTCGTCCGGCGCGGGCTGGACGCGCACCACACGCGGATTCGACGAGTCCGACGTTGATTCGGCACGGATCCGACGCGGCCAGTCGCGCGACGAGGCAGCCGCGCGGGTCTCTCGGGGCCGGCGCTTGGGCTCCTCTTCGGGGCCTCCCTCGGCGCCGCCCTTTTGCGCGCGGCCCCCCTCCTCGTCGCCGTCCTGTCGGCTACGCGCCAGGGTGGCCTTTCGCCGGGGTTACTTCTGGTGCGGGCCCACAGGTCGGGCGAGTGGTATAATTGAGTCAGGCCTGTCCTTCTACAGGGGGAATATATATATATATATATATATATATATATATATATATATATAAAATAGTCGGGGGACTATGCTTTGACTATTTTTTAGCATTGTTTGTGTATGTTTGGGGTATTTTTTCATTTTCGCCCAAAATCCTCCAGTATAGGGGACGCGCCCGACTTCATGGTAAAAGGGGGGGGACCTCAATGGGGGGGGAGACAAGAGCCCTTGCTGGCTCCCTAAGGAGTTGTCAGGGGCCCGGCGTAGGGATATGGTCTCCACTCCCCACTTACGCCCCCCCCCCTACCGCCCGCCTCTGGGTTGTCCCCGAACAGTGGCCTGCACGCTCGGATTTGGCGAACTCGCGGCCCCCTACGGCGGCGCACCAAAGGTCTCTCTTCTGCCCAGGGTCGCTCTTGCATGTGGCAGACTCGGCTCCGCTGCGCCGATCTCCGCACTGGGAAGCTCGCCGACGGGTGTGGCCCGCGCGGGCGTACGTCGATTGCTTCTCTCGACATCTTCGGCCAGAGGCTTTAGTAGCCGGCAGTGGTTGGTTTCTTTTCAGACGTCGTCTGTGCCCCGAATTCTAGGATGCAGCTCTTGGGAGATGGAATTCTGAATCGGCGATGGTATATCCTTGATCGAAAACTGGCCGATTCTGCCCTAATCGCGTTGAATTCGGCTCAATTCGCTCATCCCGATTGCATGTTTCCAGATCTGGCTGAATTCCAGGCCTTATCCTGCCTCATCCAGCCCACTGGCCCCTCAACTGGGCTGACACTTAGTCGCTCGTACTCGTTCTGTCCCAGACACCCCAGGAGTTGCCTTTTGATTCCCTGCAGACGTCGCCTGGGCCCCGAATTTCCAAAGCCGCTCTTCCCCCCCCCCCGCCCAGCCACAAGCAGGTGCTGACCGAGGACTCGCTGGGCGCGCCCACGAGGCGGGCGCGGCGCTGCGCCGTAGCGGGCTCTCTCCGGCAGCTGCGCCTCGTCGCGCCAGCTCTCGAAGAGCAGCAGACATCAGTCGTCGGTATCGCTTAACCAATCCCCAGCCCCATCAATCCCTTCGAGACCCCCTCCAAATCACCACCCCAGTTGGGGACACATTCCTCGACACCCGAAGGGAACGACCTATATTCCCATCTAGGGGGGTAAATCGGCCAGTGGGGCCCAGGCCACGCTGCCGGGGATGGGGGATCGGTTCAACGATACGCAAGTCGCCACGGGGGAAGCGAGTCCTGAGGGAAACCGGTCCTGAGGTTTTTTGTGTTGTTTGCGGGTGTTGGTGGCCCTGCACGGGCCCTTGGACTGTCAGGCAGCCGCTCGGGATGAAACGTTCGTCCTGGGGGAAGCCCCCAGGGTCAAGGAGCCGTTTCCCTCTGGACTCGTTTCCCCAATGCTGACCTTTAAGGGTCTGTAGTTTTGCACCCCCCCTCGTTTTCCTCGCCGGGAAACTCGTACCTTTTTCTCCTCCTTCTCCCCCGTGAGCGCGTGAACTTGCAGGATCTTGCAGGGCCAGGGTCGCATTGACCCGGGTTTGGGTGCAGGATCTTGCAGGATCTTGCAGGATCCTTCGCACAGACCCGGGTTTAGGTGCAGGATCTTGCAGGATTTGCAGGATTCTGCAAGGCCTGAGTGACCCGGGTCTGGATTGACCCGGGTCAGAAGATCCCCGACCGAGCTGGTGTTTCATGGTCCCGGGGCCTTGTGAGGCGCCCCTGCGGCCGAAACTTCAGGATTACATGCCTCTGCCAAGTCGTTGGATATCTGGGCTTGAGGGGCAAGCATCGATCTCAAGACCTCTCCTGAGGTGTAATCCGGCCAGCCACGAGCAGCATGGCAGAGACATGACAAGGGCGACACAGCTTTCAAACGCATGTGGATCCGTTATTAACGTTGTCGGTGAAGTAGTCGTCGAAACACGCACTACGAAAAAGTATGGTCGATCTCTAGAATCCGGTCCGGGCACTCGCCGCGACCTGGCTCTATCTATTTTGAAGCCGGGGCTCCCGCTCAAGCGCGGGCGCGGGCCTTCGCTCGGCGCGTCCTTGCAGTGGAGCCAAGCTGTTGAAGGTCCTCCTGCAACAACCACGTCTCCCCTCCACGTCCTCACAAGATTTTGTCCGAGACGGCCTGGCCGGACAGGGCTTCAACCTCAGCATTTGCGCTCTCGCTCGAGCTTCCCCCGCAATCCAGCAGAGACGTTGGGTGCCTGTCTGCGACGCCAATGGCTCCTGCTGGATATTTCCTCATATCGGCGTCACCCCAACGTACTTATACTATATGTGCGTCGCCCCCCCAGGGGCGACACGCGCACCGAGAAATCTCATAATATCTGATCGCACGACGACGACACCGACGACAACGACGACGACGACGACGACGACGACGACGACGTCGACGGCACCACCATGCAGCGGCGGCGGCGACGACGTCGAGCATCGGAGCTGTCAACATGACGCCAATCCCAGCCACACGCCGCACCCACACTGCACCCACATGGGGGGGGAGGGGGGGAGGAGGACCACGGCGTCACCCCGCACACACCCACAGCAACACACCACACCCACACCACATCCACAGGGGGGGGGGAGCCACCACGCCACGCCCACGCCCACAGGGGGGGTGGCATCGCGCGGGGGGGGGGGGGTCCGATGGCATTAGCATCAGGGGGGGGCCAAACCCTCGACCATATATGCGTCGTGGCGGATGCTTTCTGGCCACACCGCTTGGGAAACGACATACTACAAGATGGGTATACTATATGTTCGGTTCGGATGCGCGCCTCCAAGGATGACATATGGTACTAGTATGTCTCTGTGCGTCCCATCACAGCTTATTCCGACAGGCCCTGGCCAGAGAGGCCCCCGAAGCTCAGGAGCGGCGCTCTCGCTCGAGACGGCTTTGCAACGGAGCGAAAGTGTGCGAGGCAAGCCTGGAAGACGACGGCCCCCGCTCGACACGCGCTCTGAAAAATTTGCTCCGAGGCGCCGTGGCCAGAGAGGGCCCCGAACCCAGGAGCGGCGCTCTCGCTCGAGCCTCCTCTCGTGTGTCGGCTGAGCTGCTGGAGTCGGGCCGGACGAAAGGGGGGGGATAGGGAAATGGGGGGGGCTACGAAATCTGCTGCATGCAGCTGGTTTCGGCCCCACCGAGGGGCCCTTTCCTCGATGCATGGCCGCCTCCCGCCTGGAAAATATGCTACGTGAGCTGATTCTCAAACCCCCCCCCTTGCTATCCCCCCCTTTTGCCTGGCCCGATGGAGGCCCGCCTACTACGACAACTTTTCCCGCTCGAGGCGTGCCCACAGATTTCTCCGAGATTCGGGCCAGATAGGATCCCCCAGCGCAGGAACGGCGTGTTCTTTTTGGGTGTCCTTGCACATCATGTAAGTTCGCGATTGCCTACCTACGACGACAACGGCTCCCGCTCGATACCTGCGAACCTTTAATCCGAGACGCCTTGACCAGGGGTGGCCCCACCTGAAGGAACGGCGCTCTCGCTCGAAAGCCCTTCGCTATGGAGCCAAGCTGCTGGAGGCCCAACTGCGACGACAACGTCTGGTGTTCAAATACTTCCTCAAGGTGTGCTCCAAATCGGCACGGTCTGATGCGTCATCACACGCAGGGATGGCGCTCTCGCCCGAGACGCCTTCGCAGTCCATTCGACCTTGTGGAAGCCCAGCTCAACGACACTGGCTCCAGCCCGACACTTCCTGCGAAGTTGACTCAGAGACGCCCCGGAGGCCTCTGAACTCAGGGACGGCGCTCTCTGTCAACCGTTCCTCGCACGTCACTCGCGTTGGTGAGTCTCCCCGCGGGCGCGTGAGCTCGCATGTCGCCGTGTGGGCGCGCTGCGTACACGGAGTGTCTTGCTGGTTGCTTCCCGCAAGGGGGGTGGCATGAACAGACTCCTCCCAGAAGGGAGCTTGGTGACTCAGCCGGCGGGCACCAGGGAGAGGGAGAGACACACATTGAGGTCAAAACAGTCTGTTAGACAGCATGCAGGCAGGATGATCGTCGTTGTCTTCGTCGTCGTCGTCGAAGCCGCCCCACGGGCAGGGTGCGCTCTGGCCAGAAGCTCGAGGGGAATGCAGCCGCGTCTGCGGGGAGCTCCCGGAACAGCGTGCGCAGAGCGTCTCAAGATTTGTCGTGTTCCACCGTTGTGCTGCAGCCGTGGACGGCCTCGGTTCAGTTCTTTCCCCCCCAGACGCGATGGCCGAGGAACCTCGAACCTCGAGCTTTGATTTCCTTAGTCTCAAGCAGTGGCGAAGCGTCTTGGCTCGCCTATAGCCCCACCAAACAAGGTTCTAAGAACCTTTTTGTGGTTTCCACGAAATGTTCTTAGAACATTTCTGGCTGGGACTGTCTTGTTGTATAACACCTGGTTTACTGTTCTAAGAATATTGCTTTGTGTACTCAGAACATGTTTGAGTCCTAAGCCCATTTCCCGGTAGGACTACAGGAATGCCGGGACGGTCGGCGCCTGCTCAATTCAGGCCTCCCTCCCCCGACGCGATGGCCGTGGAGCCTCGAAACTCGAACTCTGATCTTCTCAGTCCTCCTCGATCCTCGGGGCACAGCTCGGGCCGCCAGAGGCCGTTCGGGACGATCTGGGCATCCCCCAAGAGCGCTCTCGGCGAGGCCGGCCGCCGCACGGCACCCCGAGGCTTCAAAGCTTGCCGGGGTTCAGGACGTCGCCTGGCCATCCCCGTTCCTCGAGCCCTTCTTTACCAGTTTGAATCATATCCCTATCCCTATGTTTGACATCACCTCACCTCGATGCCGATCTTAAGGATTCCCTCAGTTTCTGAGGGCTTATCCCTAAGATTGTCCTCGCTTTTTGCTCGCCCATCTTAGGGATAGGGATCAGTTCGAGGCTGGTTACTTCTCTCGCGATGTGCCCTTCTGCCCGCGCGCGGCCCCGAGAGTCCCGACCGCTTCCTCAGGGTTCGTCTCTCGTCCCAGGTGAGTTTCTGATGGTCCGGGTGCTCGCTGATGGAGGCCGAAACCGAAGGGACGGGCCCAGGTTTCGCGTCACCCCAAGATACTGGCACGACGTGTGCGTTGATCCCCCCCGGCAGGGGCGACGCGCGCACTGAGAAGTCCTGCAGTGCATGCGTCGTGGCGGGCACATCCTGGCCACACCGCTCTGGCAACGATCTGCTACAGGATGGGTCTGCTAGATGTTCGGGTCGGACGCGCGCCTCCGAAGAAGACACATAGTACTAGTACGTCCTTGTGCGCCCCACAGTCTTCGGGAGAGGAAAAAACACACAGACACAATTAATCGTCGATTCCCAGGAAAATATGGGAAGTGGGGGGAAGACAAAAGCCCAGAACACATGGGAAAGTATGGGGAATCTTTGTCTTTGTGTGTGTCCTGGGGCCCCTTCAAGGTTGTAGAAAAACGTCGGAGATCCGGGCCCGCCCATCGATCCTCTTCGATGATCCCTCCGTGCACGTGGGAGGAGGGCTGTTGGCCGCCGCCGCGCAAACGAGAGGCCCGGGATGATCCGGCCTGCGGGCGGTGCGGACTACCGGCTGGTGGCGCAGCAGGCCGCGGACGCCTGCCGCCTCAACGGCGACGACGACGATAACTGTCGGAGGAGGAAAAGGTGCCGATGCCGCTACCCTTGGCCAGTTGTCCCCTTTTCAGGGCCCGCCTCGATTCTTCCGACCCGATCCGATTCGATTTCGAGGGCCTCCGCTTCCGATTCCGATTGGATTCGACTTCGGATTCCGATTCGGATTCCGATTTGGATTCCGGAGGCATATTCGCCTGCAGATTTCCGCCGATTCGACTTTGCCCGACTCGGCTGCCGATTTCCGCCGATCCGATTCGTTTCGATCGCCGGTTCGACTTCTCGATTCGATTCTGGGCTCTCCTGCCTTGTTCGGCCTCCTCGGAGGCCCTCGTTGCCAGCGCTGGATCTGCCTCGAATGTCTGGTCAGAACGCACCGTGGGCGAGGTCAGGGGAGGCTTCCGTGTTCCTGGTGTCTCTTCCAGCCTCGGGGTGCCATGCAGCAGCGGCGCGTCGCCGAGAGCGCTCCAGGGATGCTCACATCGTCCCACAAGGGCCGCCGGCGGCCCGAGGTACGTATAGCCCGACGGGAGAGGGGAGATCGAGGTTCGAGGATCGATCTTTTGCTGGTCGTGTGAATGTCCTGTCTGGCATCCAGGAGGCTTCTCGTGGCCAAGGCTGGGTCCCCCTCGAGATCCTAGGCCGGAGCGCACCCCAGGAGAGGTCTGGAGATCGTCTGTGGATCCCTGCGCCCTGAGGGGTTTTGGGTAGAGGAGGAGGAGGGGGAGCAGAAGGAGGAGGAGGAGGAGGAGGAGGAGGAGGAGAGGATGAAGGCAGGTGAGGAGGCGTAGGAGGAGAGAGGAGAAGGAGGAGGAGGAAGGAGGAGGAGGAGGAGGAGCAGTATGACAGGAGGAATTGGGGGATTTTGGCAGAGAGGCCCTGTGGGGCCGTCTCGGACGCCCGAGCCGAGAGCCAGCAGCGTCTCGGGGGCTCGGGAATCCTCGCGAGGTTTCGCATTCGACCGCCGCGTTATTTCGGTTTTCTCCACAGCGTTCGGTTTTCGTTTTCGGCAGGCGCGGCCTCCGGGCCCTCGCTCGATGGACTGTTTTTCCCACCACCACCACCACAAGTTTGATGGTTGGAGGTTCCTCCTCTCCTCCTCCTCCTCCTCCTCTCCTCCTCCTCCTCCTTCTCCTCCTCCTCCTCCTCCTCCGCCTCCTTCCTCCAGCTCATGGTGGTGGTGGTGGGCAACAAGCCCATCATCGCTGCCCCGCGGCTGTCAAAGAACGCATCGGAAGGCAAAGCCGGCCACCGTGGAGAGTGTTGAGACTTCTGGAGCCCCGGTTTGACGGGGACGACGACGACGACGACGACGACGACGACGACGACGACGACGACGACGACCACGACGACGACGACGACGACGACGACGACGACGACGACGACGACGACGACGACGACGACGACTTCGCTCCTGGGAGTTCTGGGGGTTCTCGGCGTCACGGTGGAACCCTGTTTCCGTGTAAGTTTGTCGAACTTCGATCCTCTCCGTCGTCGTGTTTGTTTTGGACGTCCTTATGGTCTTCGTCGTCGAAGACCCGTCGACGAGGAAGAGTCGGGGCCAGAAGCATGTCATCTATACTTTCAAATGTTCGGCAGCCGCTGAGTGGCAGCTGGCGGCGCAGACGCAGTGCATACGCTGGCTTCAAGCACCTGCCGCTCCAAGACTCCGAGAACCGCTCGGAACACTGGACGTTGCCTTGTGGCATTTCTGCGAAGCCCCCTGGGACAGGGCCCTGATTCCTTCGTGTGTGCACTTTTTGTCGAGGCAGATGCAGTCCGCTCCCGTGTGTGGCTGTTCGGGGCCACCGAGAGGCGAATACACCGGCGTGCAGGAGGGACGGCACATCGAGAGCAACGACAGCGGGGGATAGGCATAGGGGGGGATGCATCGACCCTCAATCACCCATTGATCGCCGATACGGGCCCGATAGCCCCAACCTGCCCAGCAAGGTGCGGGTTCACCATCGGAGGCCTATCGCCGATCTATCGGCGATGTTCGCCGATTCCAGGTCGATGTTTCCCCCCCCTGTCCCTATCACCCCCTGTCGTTTCCCCTCAACAGAGACGTGGGCGGCCGCGCAGGGGGAGGGGGAGGGGAGCCTCCGTGCATGCGCGCGCGGGCCCGGGTGGCCTGTGGCGCGGGGTGCTTCACGCTCCCGAGGGCCGCGCGCGCGCGGTGTCGGCGTGCGCGAGGCCGCGCCCCGACGATATCAGGAGGGGGGAAACCCGATCGTCGATCCCAAGGAAAATATAGGAACATGTGGGAAATAAGTGGAGGGGGAAGGAGACGAGAGCCCAGAAAAGATTGGAAGCTATATGGGGTCCTGGGACTTTTGTGTGTATTCACTTGCGTGTCCTTGGGCTCCTTTCGGGGCTCGATTCGCCGTTTTCGCTGTGCACGGCCTTCCCCCCCCGGAGGACGCACCCGAGGAGGAGTTCGGGACCGCCGGCGACCCCAGCCACGCCGCCGAGGACAGAGCCGCCGCTCGCGCGGCGGCCGCCGGCCGCCTCGTCTTGTTCCTCCCTCCTCCCTGCTCCTCCTCCTCCTCCTCCTCCTCCTCCTCCTCCTCCCTCCTCCTCCTCCTCCTCCCCCCTCCTCCTCCTCCTCCTCCTCCTCCTCCTCCTCCTCCTCCTCCTCCCCTCCTCCTCCTCCTCATCCTCCTCCCCTCCGCCTCCACCTCCCTCCTCCTCCTCCTCCTCCTCCTCCCCCTCCCCCTAATATCCTCCTCTTCCTCATCTCCCCTCCTCCTCATCTTCCTCCCCTCCTCTTCCTCCTCCTCCTCCTCCTCCTCCTCCTCCTCCTCCTCCTCCTCCTCCGCCTCCCCCTCCTCCCCTTCCTCTTCCTTGGGAGTCGAGGGTCTCCCGCCCCCAGCAGGGCGCCCGCCGCGCGCCCGAGATGCCCCCTGCGATGCTGCCGCGCTGACGCGCGGCCAGGCTGCCTGCTTCCTGTGCTTCTCGTCGGGTTGGCGCTTCGCAGCGGCTACAGTCGGGGCCCTGAAGAAGGAACCCTTTTGGTTGGGGAGGGGCTCCGTGTTCCTTAATTGTTTCACAGTTTGCCCCACGTTTTCCTTAGGTTTTCGAAGGGAAATCGAAGTTCAACTTCTGGAGAAAAGTGGCCTCGTTCCTTATTTAGGATAGACCGCGCCCGTGGGGCCCGACAGACTAGAAGGGGGGCCCCAGCTTGAAGCTACCCCCCTTCCCCCTTCCTTGCTAAAGGGGGGGGGCTTCGGAAGCCCCCCCCCCTCCCCACCTTTTCGTGGTCCGGAAGGGGGGGGGGGCTTCCAAGCTACCCCCCCCTCCCTCCCTTTAATTGAGCCGGGGTGAGCCACCCCCCCCCTTTGAAAGGGGGGGGGAGGGCTTCGGAAGCTACCCCCCCCTCCCCCTAGCTCTTTTCGTGGCCGGAAAAGGGGGGGGGCTTCCAAGCTACCCCCTCCCTCCCTCTTTTTAATGGAGCTGGTGAGCCCCCCCCCCCCCCCTTTGAAAGGGGCGGGGTTGAAGACCTCCCCCCCCTCCCTCCCTGTGTGCAAAAGGCGGGGGGGGTGCTTTAAGGCCCCCCCCCCTTCCCTCCTTGGGCCGCCCAGCTCCCGGAGCCATCGCCCTCCCTTTCGCCTCCATTTATTCCCGCCCCTCTCCCTCCTCTTCTTTCTTTTGCCTCCTCCTCCTCTTCCTCGTCCTCCTCATCCTCCTCATAGTCATTATCGTCTTCATCATCATCATCATCATCATCATCATCATCATCATCATCACCATCATCATCATCAGCATCATCATCATCATCATCATCATCATCATCATCATCATCATCATCATCATCATCGTACTCCCCCGCGGGTCCTTCTGTTCCGTTCCTCCTCCTCCTCCCCCTCCTCGGTATTCTCCTCCTCCTCCTCCTCCTCCTCCATTTTTCCCTCCTCCTCCTCATCATCATCATCATCCTCCTCCTCTTCCTCCCCTCCTCCTCCTCGTTATGCTCCTCCTCCGTTTCCCCATCCTCCTCCTCCTCCTCCGCCTCCTCCTCCTCGGCCCACCCCTCTCCTCCTCCCTCTTTTCCGCGTCTCCCCCCACCTCCCCCTCCTCATATTCCGCCTCCCTTTCTATCTCCTCCTCTCACTCACCCTTCCTCCACCTCCTCCTACTCCTCCCTCCTCCTCCTCCCCTCCCTCCTCCCCTCCTCTTCTCCTCCTTCCTCCTACCTCCTCCTCCTCCTCCTCTCCTCCTCCCCCACCTCCTCCTCCTCCTTCCCCCCCCCTCCGCCTCTCCCATCCTCCGCCTCCTCCTCCCCAAGCTGGCCGCCGTATTACACGAACACTGCCAAACCCGACGGCCTGGCGTTCTCCGAATTACACTTCGTGCAACTTTCGGGGGGGAATCGTATTTCTCCCAACCCTCCTTGGTTGGGTATTCGTTTTGAATAGAGCAGCGTGGTCTCCACTTCCTCCTTCCCGTCCCGTCTCCCTCTTGCCTCCTTCTGTCTTGTCTGCGGGGGGCTGCGATCTGTGAAACTGTCGCCACTTTCGAGGCCTGCTGGGGGGCCCAGCACAGTGACGCCACGGGCGGACCCAAGTTAGACCTCGCCATCCCTGGGGGGCTGCGATCTGTGAAACTGTCGCCACTTTCGAGGCCTGCTGGGGGGTCCAGCACAGTGACGCCACGGGCGGGCCCAAATTAGACCTCGCCATCCCTGGGGGGCTGCGATCTGTGAAACTGTCGCCACTTTCGAGGCTTGCTGGGGGGCCCAGCACAGTGACGCCACGGGCCCAAATTAGACCTCGCCATCCCTGGGGGGCTGCGATCTGTGAAGCTGTCGCCACTTTCGAGGCCTGCTGGGGGGCCCAGCACAGTGACGCCACACGCAGATTCAAATTAGACCTCGCCATCCCTGGGGGGCTGCGATCTGTGAAACTGTCGCCACTTTCGAGGCCTGCTTGCGGGGCCCAGCACAGTGACGCCACACGCAGATTCAAATTAGACCTCGCCATCCCTGGGGGGCTGCGATCTGTGAAACTGTCGCCACTTTCGAGGCCTGCTGGGGGGCCCAGCACATTGGGTACCCACCGCGGACTCAAATTAGACCTCGCTATCCCTGGGGGGCTGCGATCTGTGAAACTGTCGCCACTTTCGAGGCCTGCTGGGGGGCCCAGCACAGTGGGTACCCACCGCGGACTCAAATGGGACCTCGCCATCCCTGGGGGGCAGCGATCTGTGAAACTGTCGCCACTTTCGAGGCCTGCTGGGGGGCCCAGCACAGTGACGCCACGGGCGGACCCAAGTTAGACCTCGCCATCCCTGGGGGGCTGCGATCTGTGAAACTGTCGCCACTTTCGAGGCCTGCTGGGGGGCCCAGCACAGTGACGCCACGGGCGGACCCAAATTAGACCTCGCCATCCCTGGGGGGCTGCGATCTGTGAAACTGTCGCCACTTTCGAGGCCTGCAGGGGGGCCCAGCACCGTGACGCCACGCGCGGACCCAAATTAGACCTCGCCATCCCTGGGTGGCTGCGATCTGAGATCCCCGCTTTCGAAGTGGCTAGGGTTACTCAGGGATTGCAACTACTCAGCTTTATCTAGTCCTTGTCCTGAAGCCAGTGTCCTGCGAGTCTCCCGAATTCCGTCTGCAGACATATGAAACCCTCGCTCCGTCATCGCCCCCCTTTATGAAGTTTCCTAAACTATTTGCGCCCCGCGTTTGCGCAGGGGTTGGGTACGTCGTCAGTGTAATTTTTCGTTCCCGGGCGTTGGCACGGGACGAGTTGAATGATACACTTGCGTTGCAATCGATTGCAATCCATTGGATTGCAAACGATTCGATTGCAATCCATTGGGTTGCAATCGATTGGATTGCAATCGGTTGAATTGCAATCGATTCAATCGATTGGATTGCAGGGGAGGGACAGGACGGAAGGGAGGGAGGGGAGGAGAGGGAGGGGAGGGAGGATATGGAACGAAGGGTGTGGAGGGAGGGGAGGGAGCGGAGGGAGGTGGGGAGGGGGATTGCAGTGGAATGGAGTGCAATCGATTGCAAGCGATTCGATTGGGATTTTCGATCGTCGATCGTTGATCGTCGATCGTCCATCCTCGATCGTGGATTGTTCATTTTGGATCGTCGGCGAAAGGGAGGGCGGAGGCTCCGGGGGCTGGGCGGCCAAAGGGGGCAAGGGGGGGGGGCAAGCTTCCAAGCCCCCCCCCCCTTTGGCACAAAGGGGGGGAGGGGGGTGGGAGCTTCCAGCAGGGCGGCTCCAAGGGAGGGGGGCGGTAGCTTAAGCACCCCCCTCTCTTTCGAAAGGGGGTAGGGGGGGGGGGTAGCTCCCGCGGCCAAAAGGGGGGGGTAAGCTTCCAAGTAACACCCTCCCCCCTTTGCACGAAAATTTGTAACGCCATAGGGAGGGGGGGGGGTAGATAAGCACCCCCCCACCACCTGGAAAGAGGAGGGGGGGGGGTACTTGCCGGTGATGTCCCAAGGGAGGGGGGGGTTAGCTGTAAGCCCCCCCCCCCCTTGCAAAAAAAAGGGGGGGAAGGCGAGGGGGGGGTGCTTCCAACAAGGGCGGCTCAAGGGAGGGGGCGTAGCTTAAGCCTAGCCCCCCCTCCCCTTTGCTGGGGCCCTGTGGGCGCGCTCTCTCTTATTTAGGGTTCCTTAGGTCAACGCCCCGACTGTACGTTCAGCGGGGTGGTTCGTGCAAGTCTCTTCGCTTCTCCTAGAGCGTCCCATCACCATCACCATGATACCCAGCACCATCCCCTATCACCACAACCATCCCCACCATCATCATCACCATATCTACAGCCGCCGCCAGTTCAGGCCTGCGGAGATTCAGCGGTCTCCTCGGGCATGCCCCCCGCCCCAGGCAGCAGCAGAGAGCTCAATCGATGGCACCCCGCCGCGAGGCCATGCTGCAGGTTGTACTCAAGTTTGCGACCACCGCGCGCATGACGGCGTGGTGAGGAGGCTTTCGATGGAGCTGACGCGGAGCCCGACGCGCAGTGGTGCTCCCCCGTCTGGGGCGAAGCGCTCGCGCGCTCAGGCGCACCGGCAACGAGTTCCCGCTGCTTTGTCCCTGGAGCCGCCTGAGACCTCCCGCCTGGCCTGTCGCACGACCAGTTCAACCAGAACGCGCCAATTTTGATGCGCAATCCCGAGGACGTCACGAACGATGAGTCAACGACGGCGTGAACCACCTTGCCACGAAACGCTTCAGCATCGAAGGGCCGCTCGAGATCCACGCGCGGCAGTTCAGGCCCGATCCTTCCCCTTCCAGCCCGCGAAGACGCGTCACCACATCTGGCTCCACGGGCGGAGCGTGTTTCGAGCTTCTGCCGCAGCGCATTGCTTGCCAGGCCCCGCGGCAGAGCCGGGCCGTGCGCGTGATCGGGCAGCGCCTTGTCGTGCACTGCTTGAAGCTGTCGGCGGGGACTGCCGAGACGCAGGACGGTTACGACAAGCTCGGCGACCAGCTTGGCAAGTGCCTCGGCCTGGGCGCACCGCGCAGCAGGTCCGTGCCGAGGACGAGACCGACATTCATGGCGTCTCCTGCGCTCCGCGCGCCGCCATCGGCCCCGCCCCCCTACAAACAAATCTGCGCCGCCGAGCCCAGGCGGCGCCCCGAGGGCAACACGATTGGAAACATGGGCCACTACAATCGGCCATGATTAGTAGGTCGACCCTGCCAGCTCAAGGGTACCCTTGTGTCCTGTGCCTCGCGACACGTTCCTTTTCTCACTCCTATGGCGATGTGGCCTTCGGAAGGGTCTTGCGTCCACTCGCGCGTCCTCTCCAATCAAGTCCGACTGTACCCTGAAACCTTCCGATTCCAGAGCGGGCGAGGTGCGACGCGGCACGTGCGCCCGAAGGATAGGGCGGTGCGTCCCACGACCACCCGCCTTTATGAGGAGTGCGCTGCACTGGCGGTCGGGGAATCTGGCGGCCATCAGGGCTTCATGGTCAAGGAGGACGACAGGGCAGGATGCCATAACCATCGATCGATCCCTGCCTTTTCTCCGCGTGAGGCCCATATTATACCTACGTAGCACCCCGCAATTGCGGATAAGAGTGAGGGGGCGGGCGCGGGCGACGCGGGCGTCGTTAAGCCGGCGGACCTCGTGGCCCCCACCTTCCCTGTCGATGGCGCTCTCCTCCTCCTCCTTCTCCTCCTCCTCCTCTTCCTCCTCCGCCTCCTCCTCCTCTTCCTCGTCCTCGTCCTCGTCCTCATCGTCATCGTCGTCCTCCTCCTCCACCTCGTCCTCCTCCTCCTCCTCCTCCGCTTCTTCCTCGTCCTCCCTCTGCCTCCCTCGTCCTTCCATCATCGTCCTCCCATTGTCGTCATGTTCCTCCTCGTCGTCCTCCTCCTCTTCCCCCCCTCCCGATCCTCCCCCCTCCTCCTTTTCGTCGTCGTCGTCGTCGTCGACGTCGTCGTCGTCCCCTTCCTCGTCCTCCTCATCCTCATCCTCATCCTCATCCTCCTTCTCCTCCTCGTCCTCCTGCAAAAGCAGCCCGCCGCAGGCGCCGAAAAAATTGGTTTGTACACTGAACGTGGTTTGGGTCGCGGGTGGGGCGCGGGTTCTCCACCGGGAACGAATGCAAAAGATGCCCGCCGCAGGCGCCGAAAAATGTAGTTTGTACCCTGAACGTGGTCGCGGGTGGGCCGCGGTCTCTCCACCTAGAACAAATGCAAATGATGCCCGCCGCAGGCACCGAAAAATGTGGTTTGTACCCTGAACGTGGTTTGGGTCGCGGGTTGGTCGCGAGTTGATCGCGGGGTGGGTCGCGGGCTCTCCACCTGGAAGGAATGCAAAAAAAGCCCGCCGCAGGCGCCGAAAATGTTGGTTTGTACCTTGAACGTGGTTTGGGTCGAAGGTGGGTCGCGGGTGGGTCGCGGGGTGGGTCGCGGGTGGGTCGCGGGTGGGTCGCGGGTGGGTCGCGGGCGGGTCGCGGGGTGGGTCGCGGGTGGGTCGTCGGGTGGGTCGCGTGGGTCGCGGCGGGGGGTCGCGGGTGGGCGCGGGTGGGTCGCGGGGTGGGTCGCGGGGTGGGTCGCGGGGGGTCGCGGGGTGGGTCGCGGGTGGGTCGCGCGGGTGGGTCGCGGGGTGGGTCGCGGGTGGGTGGGTCGGTGCGGGGCGGGTTGCGGGTGGGACGACGACAACAAACAACAACAACAACAAACAACAACAACAACAACAACAACACGAATCCGCACCGCGGAATCTCACTTCAGCCACGCACCCAGGGACAGTGAATGACCGTTCGGCCCCCTCACTCTGATGATGGCATGCAGCAGTCAGCACTGCGCCATAAGAGCTCGCGCCTTTCTCAGTGCCAAGACTTCTCTACAATGTTCCGAGGCAGTGCGGTACAACCCCAATTGCGCCAGCACCCTTGGAGCATGGCCCATCCGGGGGCATCCGAGACTTCCTCGCTCTCTACCTCAGACCGACCGTTTCTTCTTCGAGTCAGGAGCGTTCAAATCATCAGCGTCATCAACCTCAGCGACATAATCATCGTCATCAGCATCATCACCCACATATCAATTTCCGCCTCTTCCGCTCGTATCCTTCTCCCTCTACTGTTGCCCGTTTTCTCGTCACATTGAACCGTTTATCGCGTTCTTGTTCATATCATTGTATGTGTTGTTACCTCTCTCTCTCTCTTTTTCTTGCCCCGCCTTGTCTTTACAGAAAAGCGATCCATCACCCCCAGCCCGCATCGATGCTCCATCCCCGCCCCCTCCTTCCTCCCTGCCCCCCCTCCCCGTCACCCGTTCCCTCCCCCCTTCCTCCACCCCTTCCCAACTGCCGTTTCCCGTCCCTCCCGGCGACGATGAACGACGATGTCGATGATGTCGGCCGGTCCAGCAGTTTTTCGACAAAAGTCACAATGTCGAGATGCCGAGAAGTGCGAGAGAATCATCTCCCCGCCGTGCAAAAAGCAAGACGGCGTCGTCGTCGTCGGCTGGCGCGCGCGCGCCCGGCAGGACGCGTGCGACGATGACGACGAGCCGGACGAGTCGGAGCCACTGATACCCCGGGCGACGCGCCACGCGCGGGGGGGGGTCGAGAATCATGATGTTCCAACCTACTTCAGCCTTGATCACCACGGAGAATTTCGAGCACCAGGAAGTATTGAAACTGGAGAGTTTTGTCGTGTTCGGCCCTTGGAGGCGATATTCGTTTGACATTCAATATTTTTCTGGGTGCCCGCAAGTGTTTTTGAACGTAGTCCTTCAGTACGATGGGAACGACATGAGTCGAGCAGCGATGATAATGATGCGTTCGTAGATGTCACGTATTTTCTTGATGTTCCGCGCGGCAAGAGACGAGCGACCGGGTACGACTGGCCGAGGGCCACCAGAAACTCCGGATTTACCCGTCCTTTTTTCTCTCCGACCGCCTGCCTCGTTCCTCCTTCCCCCGCCCCCCCCGCCCCCTCGAGAGCCTTCTCCGTCCTTCCTCCCGCCCCCCCCTCCTCCATGCCCCTCAGACATCCCCCTGCCTATCACTTTCCCGTCGAAGTCCTCCTCGCCTCCCTCCTTTCCTCCAACAGTGGTGTGGTGGGGCCAGGACCTAGTAGAAGTGAGCCCAGTCCCCGAAAATCCTGGGATTCGGGAAGCCGGTTTCGGCCCAGCACCTTCCAGGGACTACTAGAAACACGCCAGCCCCGAGGAAGGGGTCGAGAGACCTGTGGGGGCGCATGTCTCGAGCAAGTTTCACCGGTCGATCTCTGGGATCCTCTGGACAAGCAGTGAATCCCGCGTTGTCCAGTGAGTTTCCCCAGGCGCCCGGTCTCCAGGACCTGTTCTCTCAACCCGGTTTCCGGTGACCTTCCCAGACGTCCGATGTCTTGAACGCTTTAATGCAGGCTTTGGCAAAAAGCTCTTGGCATGTTCTGATGTTCGTCATGAGCCGTGCGGTGCCAGCTCAGCTGGGCCAGCAATTGGCCCCCCTCGGAGCTCTCGCTGTGGCATGCTCTCAAGACTGGAGGCATGGTTGTTCCCAACCATCTTTTGTTGTTAGACCCTCGCTTTGAAGGGACCATGCCCCGCATCTCCTTCCATCCTTCCTTTCCTTCCCGCTGCCACCCTCCTCCCTCCTCCAATCCCTGTCTCTGGTCTTCGCATGTCTATGTCGTTGCACCCTTCACTCGCTCCGTGGTCCAATGGGGAGCGCCACACACTGCACCAGAGGCAGGGTTCGCATGCGGTTCCACCCCAAATTCGGCGCACCCCTCATACGTTTTCCCCCCATTGGAGAGGCGCACCGAAGGTCCCAGCGGCAGGCTTCGCATGCAGTTCGACCCCGTTTCGGCTCACCCCTCACACGCATTGTAGCCGCAGAGGGAGCTCCACCGAAGGGCCTAGAGGCAGGGCTCGCATTCGGTTCCACCCTCCTGTCTTCGCACCCCTCACACGCTTCGTGCCCCAATAGGCAACTCCACCAGAGGCCTCAGTGACAGGGTTCGCAGAAGGTTCCACCCCACATTCGGTGCACCCCTCACAGGCTTCGTGCCCCCTATCAGGGAGCTCCACCGACGGCCCCAGTGGCAGGGTTCGCAGGCGGTTCCGCTCCCATTTCGGCGTACCCCTCACACGTTTCTTTGTCCCACTGGGAGCTCCACCGAAGGCCCCAGTGGCAGGGTTCACATGCGATTCCACCCACGCATTCGGCGCACCCATTTCACGTTTCGTGCCACCATAGGGCATAGGGAGCTCCACCGACAGCCGCATTGCCAGGGTTCACATACGGTTCCACCCTAAATTTGGCGCACTCCGCGTACGTTTTGTTGGCCCATCCATAGGAAACTACACCGAAGGCCCCAGTGGCAGGATTCGCATGCGGTTTCGCCTCACATTTCGGCGCGCACCTTCATTCGTTCCGTGGCCAAATGGAGAGATCCACCGAAGGCCACAGTGGCAGGGTTCGCATGTGGTTCCACCCCCAATCCAGCGTACCCCTCACACGCTTCGTGGCCCCATAGGGAGTTCCTCCGCATGCCGAAGTGGCAGGGTTGGCATGCGGTTCCATACCCAACACTTTTTTACTGTTTCGTGGCCCCATGGCGAGCTTCACCGACGGCCGCGGTGGCAGGGTTCGCATCGCGCTTTCATGGAGATCTCAAGCGCAGGCCTCAGTGACATGGTTCGCATGCGTTCCACCCCCATGTCGGCGCACCCCTCACACGTTTCGTGGCCCCATAGGGAGCCCCACCGAAGGGCTCAGAGGCATGGATCACATGCGGTTCCACCGCCAATTCGGCGCAGCCCTTACACGGCTTCGTGCCCTCAAAGGGACCTCCACAGAAGGCCTTAGTGACAGGGTTCGCATGCGGTTCCATCCCCTGTTCGGCGCACCCCTCTCACGTTTTGTAGCCCCGTAGGGAGCTTCACCGAAGGCCCCAGTGGCAGCGTTCGCATGCGGTCCCCCCCCATTCTGGCGCACCCCTCACATGTTTCGTGCCTCCATAGGGAGCTCCACCAGAGGCCCCAGTGACAGGGTTCGCATGCGGTTCCTCCCCACATTCGGCGCACCCCTCAAACGTTACGTGACACCATCGGGAGCTCCACCGACGGCCGCGGTGAGGGTTCGCATGCGGTCCACCCTAAATCCGGCGCACCCCTCACGCTTCCCCCCCACTGGAGAGTTCCACCGAAGGTGCCCGCGGCAGGGTTCGCATGCGGTGCCGCCCCCCATTTCGGTTCACCCCTCACACGTTTTGTGGCCCCATGAAGAGCTCCACCGAAGGCCTCAGTGGCAGGGTTCGGATGCGGCTCTCCGCCCATGTCGGCAGATCTTTCACAAGTTTTGTGCCCCCCATCGCGAGCGTCGCCGAAGACCATATTCACAACTGCGTCACTCACAGCTGCATGTTGGTGGGTCCTTTGCCAGGATCAATTGTACTGCCTCCTGCCTGCCGCTCTCCCTCCCCCCCTCCCTACTCCCTGCTCTCGCCCACATCGAAGACATCTTCCCTCCTTCCGCCCATCCCGTCCCCCCCCTCGAGGGCATCCTCCCTCCCCCCACTTCCCCGCTCCCCCTCAAAGACATCGATCCCTCCCTTCCTCCCTCTTCCCTCCCCTCCTCCTCCTCCCTTTCCTCCTGCTCCTCCTCCTCCCTTTCCTGCTCCTCCTCCTCCCCCCTCCCCCCTCCTCCTCCTCCTTCTCTCTCCTCCTCCTCCTCCCTCCTCCCTCCTCCTCCTCTCCTCCTCTCTCCTCCTCCTCCTCCTCCCTCCTCCTCCCCTCACTCATCCTCCTCCTCCTCCTCTCCTCCTCCTCCTGCTCCTCCTCCTCCTCCTCCTCCTCTCCTCCAGCTCACCCTCCTCCTCCTCCTCCTCCTCCTCCTCCTCCTCCTCCTCCTCTCCTCCTCCCCTCCTCCTCCTCCTCCTCCTCCTCCTCCTCCTCCTGCCTCCTCCTCCTCCTCCTCCTCCTCCTCCTCCTCCTCCTCCTCCTCCTCCTCCTCCTCCTCCGCCTCCTCCTCCTCCTCCTCCTCCGCCTCCTCCCTCCTCCCTCCTCCCTCCTCTCCCCTCCCTCCCCTCTTCACCCCCTTCGCCCGAGAGGCGCCCGGGCGACCAGTGCGAGCGGCCTCGTCCACGTCGAGGGAGCCCGCCTCTCTCGCGGGGAGGGGGGTCGGGCGGCCCTGCCTGACGGCCCTTCGTCCGACTTGGCATCGCGCGGACGTTTTTTTTTGTTGTGTGTGTGGGTGTGTGTGTTTCTTTCGCGAGGACCTTCGCGAGCAGCATCCTAGAGCATCCTGCGACAACAATGCACTCGGGGAACGGAGAATGGCATCCATATTAAAACTCGGAGGTCCGCCCGGAATTCTGGGTTCGGCGCTGGACCCCCTCCCTGGCGCGCGGAGCGCGCCACCAGGGGCGGCGCCAGAGGAGCCGCCGGGGGGCCCAGCGCGGGTCCGATGTCTCCGCGCGCGGACCTCCGAGTGTTCGTGCCTGCGCCAGTCTTCGCCCTCCCCTGCCTGCACCCACGGAGCCGAGTGCCTGCACGGGGCATGGACTTCGGCCCGACGGCGAGCACGGCTCTCTCTCGGTCGCGGCGCTGGTCCGCGCTCTCCGCCCCCCTGGGCTCGCTCCCGGGCCCTCGGGCCACCAGGCGCTGCTCCAAGGGCGGCGGGCCGCCCCTTGGGAGGAGGAGGAGGGTGAGCTGGAGGAGGAGGAGGAGGAGGAGGAGGAGGAGGAGGAGGAGGAGGAGGAGGAGGAGGAGGGGGAGGGGGAGGAGGAGGAGGAGGGGGAGGAGCAGGAGGAGGGGGAGGAGGATGGGTTCGACTCTAGTACGGTACCGTCGACTCCAGGCGCCTTCTCCGGGCCCGGGGTCACACGCTGGTCGTCTGAAGTGGGTATTTCGGGATGTCCAGATCTCAATCATGTGTACGCGCCCCCCTACTTCAAGGATCGGGCGATGTTCTCTATTCCCTCCTCTTCAGGGGGTGGGCGGAGACCAAATCTACGTCCAACGCCCTCTCACTTCATCTTTCTACTCACCTCGCTTTTCCGAACGACGGGGACTCAAAAATCGACTCGGGACGAGACGCCAGCTCTTCTGAAATGGTTGTGACTTCCGCTGGACCCGCATTGCAAGTATCAGCACATGGGAGATCCCGTAGCAGATTTTTAAGGACATCGCCACATCGGATATCCCGTTCCGAACATGAGCTTTCGGAGGTCCGCGCGAATTGTTTGGGGTCGCCGTGAACGTGAGACGGCATTGCGGGGGGCGAGGGGAACCTGGAGCACGAAGGCCGCCTCCGCTGCATCGCAAGCGGCGATCGGTGAGCCTCGCGTGAAGTCGGGCGTGCCCCCCTACAGGAGGAATCTTCAAACAGTCCAAAAAATAGTCTCCCGACGATTTCTTGTGTCTTTTGAACCTGTTTGAGTATTGTTTGACTATTGTTTATTGTTCTCCCAAAATCCGTTGTGCAGCCGAGAACACGTCGAGGGCCACAGCCGCCAACGGCGAGAACTGCGCCGCCGCCGCCGCCGCCAGCCCCACAAGGATCATTGAGAACAAAAGGACCCCCAACCCCAATGGCACGATGAAGGCGTGGTCTCACTGAGGTCCCAGTCTTCACAATATGGAGAATACATCTGGGCGGTTTGGCCTGGCACATCGGCAGACAATTCCCCTTTCTCCCCAAAGTGCCTGGCCCTCCTAAGTCAGGTCCCCTCCCAAAGGGTTAGGGGTCCTGGGGTCCTTTTTGATTTGTTGTTTAATCCAGCGCAGGGCCCCACGAAGAGGGTCCCACGGGGCGCCTCGTGAGGCCCGAGAGGGGCCAGAGACTGCCCCGAGAGGGCTTTTTTGGAGGGTATTCAGAGGGGGGCCCCACGAGGAGGGCCCCACGAGAGAGGGGCCCGAGGATGAGGAGGAGGAGGAGGAGGAGGAGGAGGAGGAGGAGGAGGAGGCGAAAGAGGAGGAGGAGAGAAGGGGAGGAGGAGGAGGAGCGACACCAACACGAAGAAGAGGAACGGCCATAAACATAAGCTGTTGGCGCTCCGCGCGGATTTCTTGGACCCGCGCCAAGCACGCCCCTGGCGGCGCCTCCGGCGCCGCCTGGCGCGCTCCGCGCGCCAGGGAGGGGGGTCCAGGCCAGATCCATGAAATCCGCGCGGAGCGCCCAAAGTTTATGTTTATGGAGTTGTTGTTCCTAGAGACGCGTAAGAGCGTCAACGACACCACCAGGGGGCCCACCCCCAGCGAGTGGGTCCACGATGCCTCCCCGAGCTGGAGGCCCGGGGCGTCTCGGGCGAGGGGGTGGGGGGGGGCACAGCACCAGGGGGACCCCCCCCTGCCTCCTCGCATCTCCTCGCCCTGGGAG